ATAGTGGAGGAGATTCAAGCTTTCCACCGCTTCGACATCGTATCGGACCACTCCGATCACCACTACGCCAACTCGAACAAAAGCAGGCCCGGAAAATCCAACGCCCTAGATTCCTTCGCCAACGCATCAAGTTCAGTTCACAAGAACATCATGAAGGAATGGAGGATCCTCGAGAGAGACCTGCCGGAGTCGATCTTCGTTCGCGTCTATGAAAATCGGATCGATCTCTTACGAGCCGTCATCGTTGGCGCCGCTGGTACGCCGTATCACGACGGGTTATTCTTCTTCGACATCGCGTTCCCATCCGATTACCCGGCCCGGCCGCCGTTGGTCTACTACCATTCATTCGGGCTCAGGCTAAACCCTAACCTTTACGAAAATGGCCGGGTATGTCTTAGCTTGATCAATACTTGGGGAGGCAAAAAGTGCGAGAGGTGGAATCCGAATGAATCTACGATTCTTCAGGTTCTGCTCTCCATACAAGCACTGGTACTCAACGAGAAGCCATATTACAACGAACCGGGTTACACGATGTGGCCGGGTCGGGCACTGCGGCAGAGACAATCCATGGTTTACAACGAGAATGCTTTCTACTTGTCCTGCCAAACTATGCTTATCTTGCTGCGACTACCGCCCAGAAACTTTGACGGTTTTGTTAATTGGCACTTTCGCGTGCGATCGCAAGCGATCTTGTCGGCGTGTCAAGCATATTCGAGCGGGAAAGTGACGGTCGGATCTTATACCAGCGACGGGTCGGGTTCTTCGACTGTTGATGAAGATGTTGTCTCGAGGTTGTTCAAAGGGTTGCTAGGGGGACTCTATCCAGAACTGGTCGCAGCGTTTTCGAGCACCGGAGCGTCGGTGGAGCATTTCGTCGAACAGCCGAAGCTCGAGCTGGAAGCGGCGTCGTACAAGGCAGATGGAGAGCCTGCGAAGAAGAAGGAGAATAAGGAGAAACGTGGATTTTCCATTTCCAAGATTTTAGGGAAATTGAAGAAGGTTTTCGGAATGAAGAACCGGGTCAAGCACCTGTGTTCGTCTTCTTCTACGTGAGGCAGGCGAAGAACGAACAGAACCCACTGAACTTTGGTGGGAATTTCCATGGCTTCTCGGCTAGTTTCATGCCAAAACTTATACAAGGTAAGTAACTTCAGAATTTGGATGCCGTGAAGAAAATAGGATGTGGGTATTAAGTGTCATTTTAGGGTTTTGTTGGTTTTTACAGGAGTAGGATTTGATTAGCTTAGCTCAAAGGATTGAATGCTTTATTAAAAGTTCAAAAGAACAAAAAACAGAACTTCATATGGAGGATACACAGAAGAAGGTTGTAGCGGCATTGTTTATAAACTGTGGCTTTTTGACGACCGCCTTCTACTTAATCATGGCTAAGGCAGAACTAGTTATTATAAATCTTAATATTTAAGAGTATATTATATGTTTGAACTTATAGTGATTAAAAACATTATTTATAATGTAGATACGAACATGAATATGTTTTATATCATAATTGATACGGGTGATAATTTCTTTTTTGTTCATTAAGTACGTATAAATTTAAAATTTATAAAGGAATTACGAGTTAATCGTTAAATTATTTTACAATGATTGATGTATATTTTAATTATTAATAAATTTCATATCTTAAATTAATAATTTTTGTTTCTTTTAAAGAAAATAATTTTATGAAAAGTTCATACACAAAATATTATTATTACGTAAGTAATTATCTATGATGGGTAGGTACTTGTAAGTAACTCATACGACATATAATATATTGTATTCATAACCCTAATGTTTAGTTTGATAGTTTTTTTTATTAATAACAAATTTATACTTACGAACGAATAAAGAAAATTTACATACTAGATTTGTATCACGTATGTTATATGATTTAACCTTGTCGTAAATCGTTCTACGTGTAAAACTATAACTAATAACAAGTTTAATTATAATGTATCGATACTAATTATCGTCATAGTTGCGACATCGGATATATTTTTTTTTATATTTGTTAAATTTATAAGTCCTTTAATTCCGGATCTGAAAATTACCATTAACAATAATGATATACGA